TTACCTCATCTTACCTTACCTTACATTACTGGTGGTGCTCAAATTTATAATTTGTGTTGGGCAAGGCCGTGGTCTAGGCATCACGGAGTTTTCCTCCGGGGGCTTCCCCGGTTTCTCCGTGGCATCCCAACAATTACTCCACTCACACACAGAAGAAGGCAATGGCAAACCACTTCTGATCATCTCTGCCAAGAATGTATATATGTATGAGCAGGTCCCTGACAACCTGAAGAGGTTGGAAGGATTCTGTTCATAATATATAGACCTGTCGTCAGAGAGAACACTACAAATAAATAACCTTATAAGCCTGGGGTCCTGGGTTCAATTCCCGGTGGTGCTCAAATTTATAACTTGTGTTGGGCAAGGCCGTATTCTAGGCATCACGGAGATTTCCTCCGGGGGCTTCTCCGGTTTCTCCGTGGCATCCCAACAATTACTCCACTCACACACAGAAGAAGGCAATGGCAAACCACCTCTGATCATCTCTGCCAAGAACGTATATGAACAGGTCCCAGTCCGAGAAAAAAAAAAGGATGGAAGGATCCTGTTCATATGGAACTGTCGTCAGACAGAACACTACAAATAATAACATTACCTTACCTTACATTACCTTACCTTACATAACCTTACTTTACATTACCTTACCCTTACATTACCTTACCTTACCTTACATTACATTACATTCAGCTACCACAGACCCATCTTAAGCGTAACTAATTCAAGTTAAATAAGCAATGTCCTAATCAAACTTATCTCGATTGTAAAGCATGTATAAAGGTAATATTTAGAGTAAAACCAATAAATAAACTTCCTTTCCGTATAGACGTATTTACGTCAAATTCTCCGGAACCGTGGTTCCACTTACAACTTTTTGTTACCCTTTTTCGTTCCAATTTTTTGCCGAATGACCCTTCCTTATAGACGTATTTACGTCAATACATATTTTTTTCAAATTTCACGTATCCCCTATGATGTCTTCCCGTGCACTTGGGGATATGCGTACCCCAGGTTGGATACCATTGATCTAGAGGACTCTACTTCTATAGTGCCGGCTGCCGGATGAATTCTGTAGTACCTTCGTCCTTAAGGGAGGATAGCAGCTGGTTGATTTATGTCATGTAATTGGCAACGCCCGATTGTTTGATTTTTTGTGCTGTTACAAATACTAAGAAATTTGAGGTAGAATTCCCATTGAACAGTTTTTCAGCACGAGGTTGTTGTATTTAAAATATCTTCTGCATTTATGGTAAATATTCCAACTTTTACAGCAACACGAAAAAAATCTCGAGAATTAATTTTGTAACTACTTTAATCAGAAGATGGTTTAAAATTTTTAAGAACTCTTAATAATCACTGCTTACAGTGCAACATATATATATATATATATATATACAGAATGTAGCATTAAAAATTGCTAAAGCTGACGGTATATGCACGGACTACCACTCAGTTCGAAGTGTCGTGAAAAATAAGAAGTTTTCCTTGAATACAGTGAGTAACAGTAGCCATAGTTGCTTTTTGATTTCCAGTTTTAAACGATGATGAATCAACTGGATAGTATGAAATCTTCATATTAACTGCTGACAACGTATTAAAGAAACGTTAATTCTGTTCCAAAGGAATTAAAATCGTAGAAGGTCAATGTAGGTGATCCTGATTTGCTAAAAGCGCCGGAAAACGTTTTGATATATCCGAGACATGAGATATTTAGACTAGACACATTTGAAATTTAATTTGGTAACGACTATTTTGATAAAGAAGAACACAGAAGATTTATTTGACGCTAGAAGAGAGGTGAGGATGAGTGAGGTTTTCCTGTCTATTATTCAGTTGTAAGGCAAGTACACTACAAGGGGATAATTCAAAAGGAGGACGGCCCGCCGACCCCAAATCATTGAGGCCTTCAGCTGGCGTGAACACCCCCCCTCCTCCCCAACCCAATTCGTAGAGCGACCTCTGGGTTCAAATTCCAGTCAACTCTCCAACCAAAGTCCTTTTCATGAAAGACATGTTGCCTCACGCATTACCTTTCATCAGCAGCAACAGACCGTCAAGGCTTCCGCCGCGACAAATCTCTCGTTATAATTATGAGGCTCCGTTTACCATTGCCAGCAATGCGTTCCTTACGATGGAATGGTGTTTTCTAGCAAGGGACGATGTCTTGCGATTGCGTAGGACTCCATCCTCAGTTAGCTGTTAGGTTCTGCTATGCCTAGAGACAGAGACTAGCTCTATGGTTTGTGCCCAACAGAGTCGGGATTTTACCTGGAGACGGAAAAAGACTCCAGTCTCCAAAACGATATTTTTACTGTTTTTTGGTCTTGGACTATGCATTAGGTCCAAAAATAGCTTGATTCAACATGTAAAGAGAGAATCGAGTCAGTGACCTTAGATCCTGTAATTTCCTCTCCTAAACGAAAGAATTTTGCCTTCGTGTCGTTCTATTATTGCGGTTACGTGTGTCAACAGAAACCATTCTTCTTGTCAGGAGTCGAAACCAGTGTCTAGGCCTTCGTTTCCGTAATCTCTTTTACTAAGATGAGAAACTCTGATCCAAGCGCCGTTGTTCTGTTTCGCTTAGTTTAGGAGTTAAAGGAACCGCCCTTGAAGGAAATCGAACCCAAGACACTTTTCTCAGAGTTCTGCCCTTCCTGTGTTCTCTCATTTGTCTTATGGAATAATTACGCCATGATTCGAAGGAAGGAAACACTTTCTTTGGCCCAGCACCCGGGACCCTCAAAAATAATCTTTAAAATTAATCAAGTATACTGAAACCGGATGTTATTTTTAAATAAGGGCAACTGGAATTGCAGTTTTTTCTTATGCCCCTTCTCATTATTTCTATGTGTATTCTCTTTTTATAGGGAACGCACTTATTATTAATGAATGTAACCAAATTATAAATTAGAGTAATTCTCTTTGTTTGTTATTGATGTAAATACTTCTATACGGAAGGGTCATTAGGCAAAATCAGCGTTACGAAGATGTGTAAGATCAATATCAGCGATGTGTAAATATAGAACCTAGGTGAAACCATTCCTGCGCACAAGGCGCATTGCTGGAAATGGTAAACGGTCTTAATATAAAAAACGGAATTTTGCTAACGCTAACGGGGTTTCGTCGTGGCGGGAGCCTCGACCATTCAAACAGGGATCTGTTGCTGCTGATGGGAGGTATTCCCATCAGGCAAGTTGTCCAAAAGAATTTGGTTGGTTGGATCTCTGGGGTTTGAACCCAGAGAGGGAGGGGCCGTTTCGGCTGAAGGCCTCTGCGGCATGG